TATGCATTTCTACGCGGGGGGAGAGGGGTTTTGAGCAATTTCATGGGGTTTTTTTTTCCTTCAGGTACAACAGCAGGAGCGTGAACGAATGGATCGAGGTGCTCGTTCCCGTGGTCCACCACTGGGACGTGCTGCTGCTGCAGCTGCTGCTGCGGGCTGGGGCCCAGCTGGAGACCGAGGTGGTTACGGTGGACAGCCATGGGGTGCTGGTCCGGGTGGTTACGGAGGTGGTGGCGGTGGCCAGTGGGGACCATCAGGTAAATTGTTTTTATGTTTTTTTTTTGCAGCTATGCAATGCAAAAACGCATATTGACGAGGGGTTGTCTGTATGTGCGTCTGTCACGCACTTTCATCTCAAGGCCTACAAAAGCTGCGGGGCTGAAATTTCGGGAACTTAATCTACATGCACGTACCGGCCCCAATCCCCAAAATGGGCGCCATTTCCCGCGTGGTACCCGCGTACGGCTCCACCAAAGTTTTTTTCGGGTAAGTTCATAACTCGGGGATCTTAGAAGCTAGAATGTTGAAATCTTGGAGCAGTGTTCCTCGTCCAAGTAGATATTAACGAGTGCAAACCCTGCCTGCGGGCAAGCGTGGTACCCACGTACGGGCCCTTGAAAGTTTCTCCCGGATATGTTGCTAACTCGGGAAAGTGAGAAGCTAGAAGATTGGGATTTTGAAGGGATATTTCCTGACAGTCCTGGCGGCCAGCCTGAAATTCTTTTGGCTGGAAGCATCTGCCGGAAAAACCAGTGCTGTTGACGACAAATTTCTGTGGGGAACTATGCAAAAAGCGCATCTTCGCACGAGCAGCCCGTGCGTTGGCCAGTTATCTTGTTTTCACTGCAGCACCTGTTTCTTGCTTTGGTGTATTTTGCTTATTTTTAGCTTCAGCGGCTGGTGACATTAGTACGATTGTTTAGACTGGACCTCGTCTACCTCCCAGGGAGAGGCGGGGGGTATTGGCATTCGCTTCGTTGTTTTTGTTTGCTAAGGGAAATGCTAGTTGCGTTGCATTCTGCTAGCCCCTCTCATGATCATTTAATTAAAAATTTTACCTTTTCTCAGAAATTTCTTCGCAGCGACTGTTATTCACAAAAATTACACGAAAAGCTAAGTGTGCAGCACGAATTTGCCCAGATTTTTTGACTTTTGAAGGCTATAAACATAGCTGCTAAAGGCACCTAGTAATTTTGTCTCCTCATCACTTTGGTCTTTTGCGATTTTGACATATGCGCATCATATATATGGCAGGTAGAAGGCTGTACTGATGATGATTCCCACGCCTAACCGCATGCTGCGCTCGGACTGTATTTTTTTCAACTAAGAGGGGAGCTGAATTCTAACATACTGCTTTGTTCTCTTGCACATGTAGTTTAGATTGATCACTTATCTCTTATTCTAATATTTTTTAGCATTAAGCAGTATTTACTCGTCGTATGCGTTTGCAGGTGGTGGATATGGTGGAGGATATGGCGGAGGCTACGGCGGTGGTGCACCTAGTGGTGGACGTAAGTTTCATGGTGCTTTCCTAGATGGAATATGATTACCAGTATATTTGAGTCATTTGCTAGTTGTCAGCATAATTAGCCGACTGTATAGTTAGAAACAGGGCATAGCAGAACAGGACAGCTGCATTTTGGCGTTTTGCCAAGTGCACGTCAAAGATTGGAAAAGACTAAGGGCCGATTTCTACGCTTAGAAAACCAGTTCCTGTACAACATTTACATTCGTTTTCGTTATATAATGAGACGGGATATGAGTAGCATACTTTTTTCAAGCGACAGGGGGAAGAGCGGGGAGGACTT